CAGCACGCACGCCAGCGGCGCTCCAGTGTGCGCAACAAGCACGCGCGCCACGGGCCACACGGGCACGAGCAGCAGCACGATGGTGGCGACGAGGCTGCTCACGACGACGGCAGGGCGTGCAGCTTTGGCGGTGCCCTCGCCGAGGCTCGCAGGCAGCGCCGGGCCAGCAAGGAGCTGCCCGCTTGCCGCCTTGTCCGGATGCGCCTTGGCCCACTTCTCGTCGTACTCCTGCCGCTTGGCCTCGGTGCCGATCAGCGCATACGCCTTTCGCACGGTCTCGCGCCGCGCCTTGTTGGCGGCCAGCTGCTCGTCAGACGCGTCGAGGTTGCGGTCCGGGTGCAGGCGGAGCTCGAGAAGTCGCAGCGACTTGGAGATCTCCTCCTGCGCAGCGTCTCGGTCGACCTTGAGGACTCGGTACGGGTCGATGCTGGTGGAGGCGGCGGGAGCAGCCATGGGAGAGCTGGAGTGATGAAGTGTTGGTAGTCCGGCGCGTGCTTGTCTGTTTTCTTTCTTTGCTGTATTCTAAGAATTCTTTCTTCTCGAGCGAAACAAAGCGAAACAAAATTCGCTCGATGCTCGCCCGGCGCAGGTTCAGGCCTGGCCTCCTTGTGGCCGGCCTTCCAGTCCTTGCGTTGGCAGTCCTTGCCGCAGTAGACGACGGCTCGGCAGCGCGCGCATGGCAGGAAGGTGCGGAGGGCGGGCTCCTGCTCTTTTCCCCCCGCGTTGGGCGGGCAGTTCGCACAGGTCTGCAGCTGCACCCGGCTGCTTTGGAACTCGACCCCGCCGGGAAACTCCAGTGGCGCTTTCACCATTCGCAGGACCTCCGCGTCGCTCAGCCGTCTCAGCACCGCGGCCGTCGGCTTCTTGTGCAACACGGCCGCGATCATGAAGAGGAAGTTGGACTCATCAAATGAGTAGTCGAGCTTGGCCTCGTGGGCGGCCAGCTCGCGATATAGCTCCACGCACTGCGGGAAGCGCTGCCGCTGCAGGCACCGGTTGTATCGGATCACGCGGTACTTGTAGGCGAGCGCTTCGCAGCATAGCGCGCTCACGTCCCGAGAGCCTTCGGCCGCATGTACGCGCGGCCACGAAGGTCAGGCCCTCCGCCCGACGCCAGCGAATGCGCCGGGCGCCGGGCCGACTCCGGCGACGATGGCGGCCTGGATGAGCTCGTCGTAGGTCTGCCGCCACGCGCTGTCGTGCGCGCCGCCCCTGCTGAGGAGGTGCGCCGCCTCGTGAGCGAGGGTGAGGAGCAGCTCCACGGGCGTGCCCGCCTCGTTCCAGCGGCGCAGCAGCGGCGCGAGGTTCACGACGATGGCGCGCTCGGAGCAGAAGCCGAGGTAGGCACCGCCCACGTCGAAGCCCGCCTTGACCGTCCCTTCGAGCAGCGAGCCGAGCGACGGGAGCGCAGCGGCGAGCGTGCGCTTGGCCTGCTCGAGGTGCGCGCGGAGCGCCTTTAGCTGCGCCGCCTTGGGAAGCGTGCCGGCGGCCAGGTGCGCGGCGGAGGCCACGTCGGAGTACACCTCGCCGCCGCCGACGGAGTCGTGCGCCGCCACCGCCTTGAGGGCGTCGTGGCCTCCGCGCAGGCACTTCTCCTCCGACTCGTTCGCCTCGTCTGCAAAGGCGGCGGCCGGAAGGATGTGCCCCGCCCGGAGGGTCTGCCGCTGCCTCGCCGCCGCCGCGATCTGCCTCTCGAGGGCGCGGCGCGACTCCTCTCCGCCCGCCGTCCCGCCGCCGCCGCGCCTGTCCGCCGCGCCGCCCGCCGCGCCGTCGTCGTCGAGCGAGATGACGGGAGGAGGCTGCCCGCCGCCCCCGCTCGGCCCTGCGGCCGCGGGCGCCGCCGCCGCGGGCGCCGCGGGCGCCGCCGCCGCGCCTCCTCCGCCGCCCACCTCGAGACGCCTCTCGAAGGCGCGGCTCTCGACGCCAACCTGCTTCGCCCGGCTGAGCGCGGCGTCGAGCTGCGGGAGGGAGAGGCCGCCGTGCGCGGGCAGCGTCTCGAAGAAGGCCTG